ATGCATTGCTTCCCACAAGGCTTTCCTTTCCTCTCTCAGACCAGAGACTGGAACGAGGAGCTGCAGACCACACGGGAGCTGCCGCGCAAGAACCTGCCCGAGAGGCTGCTGAGAGAACGAGCCATTTTCAAGGTAACTGTGGGATGTGCAGGCTGCTCCCTCCACAGCCCCTTCTCTGCTCTGTGTCCTGGCTCCCGGGGCTTGTATCCAAGCCAGTGGCCAGGCTCACAGAAGTAGAAGCCAGTGGACCTGCCTGCCTCTGGAAGGCTGTTGGGAGCTTTGAGTGCTGGCACTGTGGGAGTCCTGACCCAGCTTTCTCCCCACCTGCCTCCAGGTTCACAGCGACTTCACTGCAGCAGCAACACGAGGTGCTATGGCCGTCATCGATGGCAACGTCATGGCCATCAACCCCAGCGAGGAGACCAAGATGCAGATGTTCATCTGGAACAACATTTTCTTCAGTCTGGGCTTTGATGTCCGTGACCACTACAAGGACTTCGGTGGAGATGTTGCTGCTTACGTAGCTCCTACCAATGACCTCAATGGTGTGCGGACCTACAACGCTGTGGATGTGGAAGGGCTGTACACTCTGGGGACTGTTGTGGTGGATTACAGAGGTTACAGGGTGACAGCTCAGTCTATTATTCCTGGCATCTTGGAGCGGGAGCAGGAGCAGAGTGTCATCTATGGGTCAATAGACTTTGGCAAGACAGTTGTCTCACACACCAAGTACCTGGAGCTGCTGGAGAAGACCAGCAGGCCGCTGAAGATCCAGAAGCACAAAGTCCTCAACGACAAGAATGAGGAGGTGGAGCTGTGCTCCTCTGTGGAGTGCAAAGGCATTATTGGCAACGACGGGCGTCACTACATCCTGGACCTGCTCCGCACTTTCCCTCCAGATCTAAACTTCCTGCCTGTCGAAGGGGAGGAGATGCCAGAGGAATGTAAGAAAATGGGGTTCCCCAAGCAGCACAGACACAAGCTTTGCTGTCTCCGGCAAGAGCTTGTTGATGCCTTTGTAGAGCACAGGTGAGCAGAGCTCCCCCTTCCTTCACCTGGTCATGGTCCCAGTCACGGCCACACTGCGCTGTCCCGGGAACATCCCAGCAGAGCCCCCAGAAGTGGGCAGCTAATTGCCCCTTTGTGCTTGGCCGTGCAACTGCAATGCTAAAACTTAACTAACAAGAGGTGAGAACGGTAGGGATTCAGACAGGGAGCCAGGAAAAGACATGGTTTGTGTTTTAGTCCCCGTGTCTGTTTTTGTTGGTTCCTGTCAAAACAGTTAGAAGTTCTTCTTTCTCTGCAGGTATCCTGTGCACCTGGTGGCTAGGGAATGGGAAGGATTTATGCCTCTTTTTAAGGCACTCCAGATATCCTGAACGTTACCTTTGTTTCCTAGAGGCTGTGGGAACTGCTGTAGGCACGGTGGTGGTGGGATGTTTGGGTTGCTCCGTGCTGGCGATGCAGCAGGGGGAGCAGGAGCTGTGTGGTGCAGCCATGGCTCATTTGTCAGTGCTCCTGATCCCGGTGGGAAGGGCCGTGGGTGCTGTGTCACAGCTGACCAGAGTGGCCTGCAGGGCAGCCAGGCCCACAGCCCGGAGCTCTCCTGGGCAGATTGCTGCTGGTTTGTGTGTGACCAGCCCTGTGGCCCCGCAGCGACTCTTCCTCCTGAGCTGGCTGTGGATGCTGCCTGTGGGCAGGAATTGTAACTGCTGCAAGGAGATCAGTTCCCGTTGGGATGAGTAATGAAAACCCCTTTTGTGCTTCTTCCAATAACATGCATTCTTTAGATCTTTGGAAAGCTCGTGGGAAAAGGGTGTACACCCTGGCCATGCACTGGGAAACTGTATAGTCTGTGATGCTAACTTGGTGAAGTTTTTCCCTGCAGAGCAGTGGTGGTTCTCTGGGGTTCTCCTGCTGTGCTGAATTGCCCTTTCCCTTTGCTGCAGGTATCTCTTATTCATGAAGCTGGCTGCGCTGCAGCTGATGCAGCAGAAAGCCAACAAGCAGGAGAGCTCAGGTGTGCTGGAGAACGGAGCCTCTCCGGAGAACGGCGCTGCAGACGGCGAGAGGCCGGAGCCGGAGGACGGCAAAATCGATGATAACATGACTGGACTCGATCAGGTGAAGGAGCTCGCCGAGACCATCGCCTCTGATGATGGAGCAGGTATTTCACCCCAGCCTCCTGCCCTGGCTGGTGGGCTGTCACGTGGGAGCGGTGCCAGGCTGGGTGATGGATGGATGGCTGTCAGACAGGACAAGGACTGGCTGCCTTTGTCAGCATTGCCTGGGCTCTTTGTTAGAGCTGCTCACGCCCTGGTGAATGACTTGCCCCGGGGGGTGGGCGGGTGGATCTGCACCCGGCAAGCCCATCAGCCCCTCAGCTCTGCCTGGGAGCAAGAGCCCAGCCAGGCTGGCACTGTGGGGTGCAGGGGAGCAGTGCATGGGCACCTTAGGGAACCCCAGGCTTGGATTTCTGAGTGCCTGTACTTGGAGGTGAGGAGGTCTGAGGGTTTTTTGGGTCATCTTACATGCTCTTGTTCAGACTTTGCAGCCAGTCTCCTTTCCAAATACCTTACAATTGATTGTTTTTGTAATGGATTTCTGCAGAATGTGCCATCACTGCTGTTTTTAGTAACAGAACTTTTATCTTAATTTAATAGCTGGGCTTGTCATCTCCTGACCTCCACGTTCATTTGTGTTCTGTTTTTCTTCTTGCTCCAGTGGATCCCAAAAGCAGAGAAGTGATTCGGAATGCTTGCAAGGCTGTAGGCTCCATTAGTGACACGTCGTTTGACATTCGGTTTAACCCAGATATTTTCTCACCAGGTATGTGTATCCAGAGCTGGGCTCAGTCCTCCGTCAGGGGGCTGTGTCCACCAGCTGCAGACAAAGGCTGTTCTGTAGCCAAGGGTTTTGCTGGCTTTTGGCTCGCTGGGCACGGTGCGGAGCTCTCTGTGAAGCACAGAGGTACAGGAGAGAAAGCAGCGTAATGGATTGCAGTGCTGGAGCTGCCAAGTGCTGCAGTGAGCGTCTCCCACCGCTGCGCTCCAGGGACGGCTGCAGGGTGCTGCCAAGAACCTTCTGTGATTCTCTGGCATCCTAGCTGCTAGACCACGTGGAAAGAAGCAGAAGGAGGGAAAAAATTAATTTGATCCTAGTGTAGTAGTTCACACAAGATCCAGCAGTTGTAGTGGAAAAGCTGACGTTGGGCCCTCAGCAAAGGGCAGGGTCTGTTTTAGCAGCACTTTGATAAGCAGTCACAGTGCCCTTTCACATGCATGGACCAGGCACAGGCAACCACATGTGGCTTTGCATGGCTGGGAGCAGTGGGTTTTCATTTGGAAATAGAGAGGAAGCTGCCAGAGCGTTCCTGGGGGTGAGCACTGAGGCAGTGTGCGGGCACACTGCAGGGCAAAGGCCACACCACTGAGCCACTGCCCACGCACAGCAGCCAGTGCTCTTCCCATCAAAACATCCTGTAGAGTTCAATTCCGGGGAGACAGAATCGCCTTAGCCTTTTGCCTGTTCTTACTGTGTCCAGGACTTGTTTCTGTGAGTCTCTGTGGCTGATGTGTT